GGAGCCCAGGACACCTGGGGCCTGAGAGCCACAGTAAAGCCCAGCGGCCGCTCACCAATATAAGTCATTTACTAACAAAGCTAATACTCTTCATACAATTAATACAGATGTCAAACATCAAACCAATATCAACACCTATATGGGACTTTTCTCTTAAATATATTTTTATTGATTTCAGAGAGGGAGGGAGAGATAGAAACATCAATGATGAGAGAGAATCATTGATTGGCTGCTTCCTGCACGCCCCCTACTGGGGATCGAGCCCTCAGCCCAGGGGATGAGCCCTTGACCGGAATCAAACCCTGGACCCTTCAGTCCACAGGCTGACGCTCTATCCACTGAGCCAAACCAGCTGGGGCTATATGGGACTTTTTGCCTCTTATTCAAGTTTTGACCATTTATGGAATGCCTTCAAAATCTGCTGACATAGAGTGATTTGGTTTTTAATTTTTAATAACTGGTTTTGCTCTTTATAAAAATAATACATGTACATTTTAGAAAATTTGAAAACTACAACGAAAGTTTTAAAAGCCTATTACAATTGCTCTTAGCCCACCACCCAAAAATATGCCATGTATGTACTGTATTTCCTTCCAGTCTTTCGTCTATGGATACATGTGTGTGGTGTGCATATGCTCATGTGTTTTACTGGTTTACTTTGACAGATCATAAATTTGCTGAGGCCCGAATTTCAATCCCGCCTCTGGGAGGCTCGATGAACCGGCTAGACCCCGGTCAGAGAGGAGGTACGCTTGGCCACCAGGAGCCTGCACCTCAAGAGCTGGCTGCCCGGTCTGACCACGCACGGAGACACCGCAATATCATGCTGACGGGATTTTGCAGCGGAAATCACACGATACTGTGGTGTCTGGGTGCCAGTGAAGGTCTCAGAACACGCCCCGTGCAAATACCAGGGGCCAACTGTACTTTGGGCCCATTTTCCTACGCGGATCCCGTGCCAGTCTTTTTCATTCATGTCGCAGTCATGTGGCAGCGCGAGGTACCCCATAAATCTTCCGTGCCGTTTGCTATAAAGAGCGGGTGTCTCGGCCCCAAACTGTATAAACACAGCTGGCATGCAGTGAAACTATTTAGATAACCAGTGTGTATATTTGGTTCTTTCGTAGTCCATCCTGTAATGGCACCTCGTACACAGTCAATGTTGAATGGAAGATGGATATTACGAACTGTGACACTGAAATCATCGCTATGGACCCAGAAGAAAGCGTCGCCAGCTTCATGGAAAAGTACTAAATTATTCTGTGAAATTACACGGTGATGTCGCGAGGGAAAAACTAAGCCTCCGGACTACTTTACGGTGCCAGGGTGTCTGTTGACCAGGCAGCCTAGCTCAGCAGCGACACCGTGTGGTCACGGAGTATTTCGCAGGAAGCAGAGAGCCCGCGCAGGCGGTGATTGGGAAGAAGGCAGGGGATGAATCTAAGGGCGGGCTGCGTGTAACACCCCGGGGTGCCAGAGCACCAAGAACTCTCCACTGCCAACTCCGTTCCATGGGGACCAATGAGACCTACTAAGAAGGCCGCGGGAAAGCAAAGCAGATGCAAAGGGTTCTAGTCCCAACCTGCCATCCGTCTCTACGAACACTGAGCCCCCAGCACAGGGCCCAGGAGCTGTTCTGAAACGTCTGGGCCCCGGCGTCAGGAGAAGAGCAGGAATCCCCCAGCCGCCCCAGGAAGCCCGTCACGGTGGGCGAGTAGCCACCTTCGCATTCGTGTACAGAACGTGTATCCCAGGAAACACACTCTAAAGCCCTAAATTCTTCCCTTCCCTCCCTCCCACAGCACAGCCCAACTCTTCCGGGAGAAATTAAGAAGCACTAAGAAACGAGGACATGCACTCCCTCGCTCCGCTCCTCGGGCTCCCTAAGTGCAACCACTCGGAGAGAAGCCGTTGGGAGGGAGAAGGAGGCCACAGCAGACATCTAAGATCAACCAGGGCAAACGGAGACTCGAAATATCACTCTTCTCCCAAGTCAGATGTGTCCCGGGGTTGGCGGGCTTGACGTCTGTGGGCAGTATCCGTGTCTACAGGACAAATACGTGCCTTGATCGTGTGCAAGCATCTCATGTCCATGGTTTGTGAACAGGGGTTACCAATCCACAGGGGGACATGGATCCCCAAGAGGAGGAAGCACCTGCTGTGTATAGTAATGTGAGCACATGCCCGATTCAAAGCCTTCGGTACGTAGGGTTATAGCCACCCTAAAGGAGGCCCAGGAAAAGCCTCGAGTCCCAAACTTCTGCTCACAGGAAGATAACCCGGGCTCACCTTCTTCTCCATTACTCTAAGAGTCTAGAGGTGCAAGTCCCAAGATCAGCAAGGTCAGAACTCCCGGGAAAGGTCAGGGAGCGCGGTCAAGGGCAAGCCCTGGTCTGTCTTGCTCCCTGGCCTCCCTGGCCATGAGCCTCCGAGGAAGGCAGGCACCTCCTCACATGTCCAGCCTCAGCCCTCCATGCCCAGGAAAGGGGGGCGGTGTCTGAGAGTGACAGTCCCATCTCCCCGTGCCCACATGGCTCTGTCCCTTCCGCCAGGTGGCAGGTCTGTAGGGGGGTCGTCTACAAGAGCGAAAGCTCTGAGGACCAGCTTGATTTTGATACTTTTTTATGCTCCAGCCACCAGATGGATGGAGGTGGAGCTTTTCCTTCTATTAACGGAACGCACTAAACAGATAAATGACGGCGAGCTTTGATTTCCTGAGGTGCAGGTGCAAACAAAAGTCACACCATTAATTCTCAGAAGCACCCATTAAAAAGCTTGCAGACTGACTAGACGCTGTGTAATGAAAATGCAATCTATAATAACAAAAGCGTTATATGCTAATTAGACTGGACAGCCAAACGACCTTCCGGACGTCCTTCTGGACAACCTTCCGGACGAAACCAGGGCTGCGAGGGCAAAGCAAGCTGCCGTGGCTACAAGGGCCAAGGCAAGCCGCAGCGGCTGCAAGGGCCAAGCCCTTGCAAGACTTTCATGCATCAGGCCTCTAGTCCTATATAATAAAAGCCTAGTATGCTAAGTATCCGGTCATCTGGTCGTCCATTCAACCAATCAAAGCATAATATACTAATAATATGCTAAGACCACTCAACCACTCGCTATGATATGCACTGACCACAAGGGGGCAGACACTTCAACCAGTAGATTAGCTTGCTGCTGGGGTCCGGCCGATCGGGATTGAGCAAGACAGGCCAGACAGGCCCTGGAGCCCTCCCGTGGTCCCTCCCTGGCTGGCCAACCTCCTGCGTCCCTCCCTGGCCCCGATCGTGCACCAGTGGGGTTGCTCGGCCTGGCCTGTGCCCTCTCGCAATCCAGGACCCCTCAGGGGATGTTGGAAAGCCGGTTTCAGTCCGATCCCGCAGGACAGGCCGAGGGACCCACTGGTGCACGAATTCGTGCACTGGGCCTCTAGTAAAAGAATGTTCTTAGATGGAAAAAAAGCACCTGTTGCTTTATTAATTTTTAAATTAAAATCATTACCTATATCACCAGTCACTTGTTAAAAGCACTAGACTCTTGTCATTTAACCTCTCAACAATCGAATCTTAATATCAATAATTGTACTCTTGCCCTAGCTGGTTTGGCTCAGTGGATAGAGCTTTGGCCTGTGGACTGAAGGGTCCCAGTTCGATTTCGGCCAAGGGTACACACCCAAATTGTGGGCTCAATCCCCAGTAGGGGGAGTGCAGGAGGCAGCCAATCAACGATTCTCTCTCATCATTGATGTTTTTATTTCTCTCTCTTCCTCTCCCTTCCTCTCTGAAATCAATAAAGAAATATATTTTAAAAATAATAATAATTGTACTCTTTACATAGAACTTCCACATATGCTATTTCATCTAGTCCTCAAATACCCCTATAAAAATCCTACTCTTAAATGCTCCAGATTTTGTGTGTCTCTTCTCCACGGGAGGCTCATAGCTCTGCACTGCTCTGCACAGTGTTTGCCACGGAACCAAGTGTAACCCAAGGAGGGCTGCTCCTCCTTTAAATGTTGGGGTAGGAGATAGAGTGCATTCTCTTCAAGGGAAAGCAGGTGAGTGTGGTGTTTAGAGTCACCTGGGCTAGTCGGTATTTGCTGAATCTGCTCGGTTATGTCACTAAACTCACCCCCTCCCCTATTTAGGGAAGGCAACAGAAACAGACCCACAGAATAATTTGCCACAATTAATAAGGAACTGACAGCCTGGCAAGAAGCCTCACCTGGGCTTAGCAACCTGCTGAAACCAGGTACCCACCACAGGCATCCAATGCAGACACCAGGCCAGGCAAATCCCCACAGGCATTCCCGGCTCAGGCCCTTTCCTGGCAGACACAGCTAGGATTGGCCACAAGGTGGCAGGCGTCAGCACAAAAAGGGATGCTCCCTTCCAGAGATTCGCTGAGAAGGGTCCAAATCAAAGGACGGTTTTTAATCCCAAGCGCATAACTGTGGCTTCCAAGTACCTCCTGGCACATAAGACAGTGACCCTTTCCCCTTAACATGGGAAGGGCCAGAATTTTAAGACTGAACACCTTCTAAATTCTAACAGTCTTCTCGCCCTCCCTGTGATGCAGATGCCAAATACATTAGTTACACTTGGACATCTTTAAGATTGTGCAGAGGCCCAAACAGAAAAATCAAAAGCAGAAATCAAAGTGGAAGCCCGCTGCCACGACAAGTCAGGGCAAGGCTGACCGTTTTTGTTGTTGTTGATCCTCACCCGAGGATATTTTCCCATTGATTTTTAGGGAGCGTGGAAGGGAGGGGGAAAGACAGAGAAACATCGATGTGAGAGAAACACATTGATTGGTTGCCTCCTGCACGCGCCCAACGAGGGCCCGGGCTGGAGAGGAGCCTGCAACCAAGGTACGTGCCTTTGACCGGAATTGAACCCTGGGACCCTGTGGTCCGCAGGCCGACGTTCTATCTACTGAGCCACACCGGCCAGGGGCAGGGTGACTGTTTGGAGAAGGGCGCCTCGGAGGCTGAGCACACTCACCTCCGCCGCCAGCAGCAGGTGAAGAGGCGTTAAGGCAGGAACGTGCTGCACGTCACAGCGGAGGCCGAGGGTGGTCAGGATCTCCTTCAGGACTTCGTACCTCCTCGTGTTGCTGGACTTGAGCAGGTTGAAGTCTTCTTCAGTCTGCACGACTGCAGAGCTGGGAGGTAGTTCCAGGTGCACCTGAGGGGGAGGCACCACTCCATCAGGGGGGGCACTCAGAACATTCACAAAAACGGTGTCTGGCAGTGTTTCTGAAAACGCGGCCGTGAATCCTTCTAATTAGCGACAGGATATACCTTTGAACCTGAACATGTAGAAGGGAACGCCAAGCAGTAAGAAGATTCAGGAGAGCCCAGGAAAACCGTGGCTGTCGGGCCGAGGGGCCACGGTGGAAACGGCCCAGGACAGTAAGCAACTCTCTCAGGTCCCAACTTTTCCCACTGACCAGCCTGGAGGCCTTGGGCAAGTCACTTCACTTGGTCACGAGTATATGGGTGACCGACCCTGAGAAGCACGGGTGTGCTGCGAGCCACGTGGAGTCACCACTGACCGGCAGGCGCACGGGGTGCAGCGGGAGGCCCACTCTACCTGGTGGCCATAGCCACTGGGAAGCAGCCGGGGAGGCAGTCCTCTGAGCCGCCTTTAAGTGTGTTTGCAGGAATCCAGGCAGAGGCGTGGCTTGGGGGGACCTGGGAAAGGCCTGCCCCACACCCCCTTCACCTGACTGAGTTTAAGACCGGGAACTTCAGGCACTCAGTTCAGGCTGGGTCATGTGGTTAACACTGAAACAGCGCCTTCTATCGATGAAAGGTCTGTGTCTTATGACAGAGGAACGTCCCGGAACTCACAGCTCCTCCAGATCAGATTCTCACTGGGCGATCAGCGGGAGGGGACGCCACTCGCACCTAGTGGGTGAGGCAGCTAACACCCGACAAGGCACAGGACGGCCCCACAACAGAGGACACAAGCAATGTCCTCCAGCCGTGGGTGGGACTCTGCGTGAAGGGGGACCACTTCTGCCACCTGGCAAGTTAACCAAGAAAAAGCTCCATTTCCGTGTGGTGTCAGGTGGGTACTAGCCTAATTGGGGTGATCGCTTCACAAGTTACCGAAATGTCTCATCACTATGTTGTATGTCTAAAACTAATACATGTCAACTATAATTAAAAATTTGAAAATTTTTACACAAATAAAATTAGTATTCAATAAAATATACATATATACAATATACAGGGTGAGGCAAAAGTAGGTTGCTTGTATGGAACATAATACAATAATTAACAAGTAATAAATCAAGAATAAACTCTGTGTTTTGTGTACTCACAACTGTAAACCTACTTTTGTCCACCCTGTTTATATATATATGTAGGTATATGTAGAGATATATGTAGAGATATTTTTTAATCCATTGTAGAGATTTTATCTGCATTTCATGCCAAACTCCGTGCCCCTCTGATAACCTAATGTCAGCATAATCCACAGCCTTAAATGTCCCTGCCAACCTGCCCGGCACGGCCAGGGCTGCAGACCCCCTCTTCCCGTGGTGACGGACGGCAACAGCGCCGCGGGCACCCCTTGCCGCCAGGCCACCACCTACTGTGCAGCTGTGGCTGCAGTACTTAGCCTCCTCTTACTGGGTTACATCATTACTCGATTTATGGCAAAGATGAAGGCTATGAAATCCAACAGGGCAAGAGGAAACTAGCCAGCCTGTGATGCTATTTATTGGTTGATCTCAGTGGCGAGGTATCGTCGTGACACAGGCCTGAGGAGAGAGCAGTGACCCTGCCCCAGAGGCTGGAAGTCGTCTGGGATCAGAGATGACACGCTAATCCCCTGAATCTGATTTTTGAAGCTGCATCATATCGCCTTTTTTCCTGGAGCAACACATGCAGTATCGGATTTTATGACAGCAATGGGGCCAATTTAGATGCAGCAGCGAGCAGACCTGCTGTGCAGCTCGGAGGAACGGTCACCACGGTGCCGAATCAATTTTCTAGTCCAAGTCTGTGCACCAGGCGATAAAGTTCGCTCTTCAAAACTGAAATACGGCCCTAGGAAGTCGGGTTGTAGAGTGGATTTTCTGAGAGTGCAGTTACCATAGTTACCGTATTTGCAGAGAGAAAGAGAAGACGAACATGTATTAGGCCTCCAAAAACAAATCCATGTGGTTTGCAACCTAGAGAAAACCGGATTGGTCGCCCATGTTCATCTGTCCCAGTGTCCAGATTGCTTGTTTATATGCATCTTAGGGACAAATGAGCGGGGAAAATGGTAAAGAAACAAACCTATACCCTTGAAAAATGTTTGGTCAGAAAACCAAAAAGACTCAGGAGGGCTGGAAAGAGACAGCATACAAAATTAAAACAACTTAAAACAACGGCCCGGCTGGGGTGCTCAGTGGTTGAGCGTTGACCTATGAACCAGGAGATCACAGTTCAATTCCCAGTCAGGGCACATGCCCAGGTTGTGGGCTCGATCCCCAGCAGGGGGCGTGCAGGAGGCAGCCGATCCATGATTCTCTCATCATTGATGTTTCTATCTCTCCCTCTTCCTTCCTCTCTGAAATCAATAAAAATATACTTTAAAAAATTAAAACAGCCGAAACCGGTTTGGCTCAGTGGATAGAGCGTCGGCCTGCGGACTAAAGGGTCCCAGGTTCGATTCCGGTCAAAGGCATGTACCTTGGTTGCGGGCACATCCCCAGTGGGAGATGTGCAGGAGGCAGCTGATCAATGTTTCCCTCTCATTGATGTTTCTAACTCTCTATCTCTCTCCCTTCCTCTCTGTAAAAAATCAATAAAAAAGTTTAAAAAAAAAATTAAAACAATAAAAAAGGAAACAGTTCCCTAATTCAATAAAAAGATTCCGCTCTAGCTGGTTTGGCTCAGTGGATAGAGCGTCAGCCTGGGAACTGAAGGGTCCTGGGTTCAATTCTGATAGTGGACACAATCCCCAGTGTGGGGCGTGCAGGAGGCAGTCGATCCATGACTCTCTCTCTCTCATCACTGATGTTCCTCCCTCTCTCTCTCTCTCTCTCTCTCTGAAATAAATAACGTTCCTCCCTCACGAGTATTCTGGTTAGACGAGATATTCACGCGACAGGAAAGCCCTGATCTAACCCGTCTACTCACATCAGCAGAAACTCCCAGCCGCAGGTCAAAAGTGCCCCCGGTGCAGGCTCTCAGACCTGGCAAAGCACAGCTGTGCAGGCGCGTTCCCCGTCAGACGTACCCAGAGATCACCACAGGGGCACCGGCCGCCTACCTGGCAAAGCACAGCCTCTCCTCCACGCGCTCCGAAAGGCACTTGCACAATCAGCCTGTCCTGGTCCTCGTTCTCCAGGTGGCCCTGGAGCTGGCCCGGGCGGAGCGGCTCCCCGGGGCCCTGCTCATAAACGCAGCCACTGCTCAGGATGCTGAGCGTCACCTGGCTCTGGTCGGCCTTGGAGAAGACCAGACTCTGGACCGTCTCCTGCAGCGCGTCCTTGCTGGTCACCTGGCAGCCAGCCAACGTGAAGGACGAAGACAGGCCCAGCACCTTCCCGCCCTGGGAGAGGTAGGCCAGGAACTTCTGCTGCACGTCTGTGGGAATAGACTCCCTGGTGGCAATGACCAACAGCAGACAGTTGTCTGGCCACGGGTCTCGGCGCGCACTCTCCTCCGGCAGGTGGTAGAGCGTGTAGCTGTCGGGGTCCACGCACTCAGCCAGAACGGCCCGGACCTGCTGCAACCGGCCCAGGGCCTCCTGGGAGTCGGAGCCCACGTAGAAGAGGATGTTGGGTGCCTTCCCCGTGAGGTTGGTTCTCCTCCCTTCTCTCTCGGGGCAGATGGCCTCAGCCGCACCCTCCCCGCTGCCGCTGGCGTCGTAGGGAAGATCGGGAATGTCTTCTGCAGATGCAAACCTGATGGACTCGATGGTGCTGTTCTCCAGCTCCAAACACTCGTGGCAACTAGACAGGTGGAGGCCGCAGAGCTCGGTGCAGCCCTCTCCTCTGTCGCTCTCCCCAGCGGCCTCGTTCCCGGAGGCGCCGCCTCGCCCTGGGGTGGGTTCTGCACCAAGAATCGCCGGGTCATCTTTGCCAAGGTGCTCCATGACGCCCGGCTCAGGCTCACCCTGGACAGCAGGTTCGGGGCTCGGCTGCAGGCTGCGGGCTGGCTTGGTCGCGGCCTGGTCCTTAAGTTCCTGCAGAGTGGAGTCCTGCAGGTGCACCGCTGACGCATGAGCAGAAAAGACACTCAGTCACCTCTCTGGTTTGTCCTGCTGCTCCGTTCAAAACCCCACTGCACTCCCTGCGTTCCCTGCCTCAGGTTCCTGGGCGCCCACGGCCTCCCCACCTAACCCTGCAGCACCCTTTGGAACCAGGTAAGTGCTCCCGCCTGCCAGGAGGGGGCCCCTGATGGTCTCACAACACCTTTGAGGCGGAAAATCTCAGATTCCCCCGCTGAGGAGTGAAGAAAGTGAGATTCCGAGAGGTCACTTTGCCCACTTCCTTCTAGATTCAGTTTCTTGGGTGACCCTCTCCGATATGATAATGAAACGACAAAACAGAAAGGCACTCCTCTGGGCCTATCCAAGCACATCCCCGAGAAAGCCACTCCCAGGGCGCCCCCTCGGCTGGGCCGGAAGAAGGGTCTTTCCAGTGTCTGCTCTCAGGACTGGAGTATCATTTACAATCACTGATTCAAAAAACATTTACTGAGCACCTGCTCTGCACCTGGCATGGGATTCGGCATATGCAGGTGGCAAATGGGAAAAGTAAGTGATTTACACAAACTTCCGAGCTGGTAAGGAACAGTCATTTGCTCAAGACACCAACGAAGACATTCCTGGACCCGGAAAGCCAGCTTTGAGGCCTAATTAAGGAAGACCATTGTGCATGTTTCTTAAAAAAAATTTAAAAAATGTGTCCCAAAATATTGTGGTATGTATAGTATATATTTCAGATAAAAAAACTAAGATTTAGAACTTCAAAGTAACACTGCCTATGCTTTCCATTCAACCACACTACAATCCAGAAACTAGTTAGCCTGTAGGAGGTTGGGAAAAATACTAGTAACTATTCCACGGGTTCTGAACTTCCATGCTAGCTCACAGACAGTGCGATTATGGGATTTCCTTGTTTAAGGATTTTAAAAGCACTCATGATATTCTAGGGGTAAACTCCTCAAAAAACCTTGGCACATATATGAACTTTATACTATTATGGAAATCTAACCTGTTGACTTAATTAAACTGAGAATAAGCATTCACTTACTAGTAAGTCATACTAAATAGGAGTACTCAACAGTACGCAAGCTAATCACCTATGATGTCTGCTATAATGAAAACATCTAAAGTTACTTACAAACAGCCCAGCGGGAATGGCTCAGTGGTTGAGCGCTGACCTATGAACTAGGAGATCATGGTTTGATTCCTGGGCAGGTCACATGCCCTGGTTGCGGGCTCAATCAGGAGGCTGTCAATGATTCTCTTATCATTGATATCTCTATGTTTCTCTCCCTCTCCCTTCCTCTCTGAAATCAAAATATATAGAGAGAGAAGCCTGGTGCACAACATTTGTGCACTGGGCAGGGGGTCCCTCAGCCTAGCCTGCGCCCTCTCGCAGTCCGGGGGATGTTCGCCAAGGGGTCCTTAGGGCTGCTATGGAGGTGGGAGAGGCTCCCCCACTTCTGGCTGAGCGGCGCTCCCCCTGTGAGAGCACAATGACCACCAGGGGGCAGCTCCTGCATTGAGTGTCTGCCCTCTGGTGGTCAGCGCACATCAAGTGACCGGTTGTTCCACCATTTAGTCAATTTGCATATTAGCCTTTTATTATAAAGGATTAGCCTTAGCTGGTTTGGCTCAGTGGACAGAGTGTTGGCCTGTGGACTGAAGGATCCTGGGTTCGATTCCTGTCAAGGGCAAATGCCTAGGTTGCAAGCTCGATCCCTAGTGTGGGACATGCAAGAGGCAGCCGATCAATGATTATCTGTCATCATTGATGTTTCTATCTCTCTCTCCCTCTCTGAAATCAATAAAAATATATTAAATATATATATATATAAATTAAAAATGTTTAAAGTTACTTACAAACAATCTTTTGGGGTATCAACCCGTTAGCCATCTGGAGTCTGTCTTCCATGAACGCCACCCCCAGCTTGCTGAAGTCATCCACGCTCGCTTTGGCGATTAACTGGTAAGGGTCCCCAGGTCTGCAAGCTAACGGCAAACAACAGTCTGACCACCTCACGATCTGAGGGGAAAATGGGAGGAAGAAAAAGAGAGGTTGGGGTGTCTCTTCTTAAACTAAGGAGGTGCTTCATTTTCCCCTTCAGCGCCCCCTCCCGCCCCCCACTGCACTATTACATCAAAGCTGTGCTGCTGGGACCCTCTCATTTCTGCCCAACGCAGGGCTTACAAAGCTCTAACCACAACCCTCTCCTTTCAAGCTAACGCACGTCTCAATTGCTTTTCTAGGCACTAAAGGGGGAAAGAGCCATCCCCCAGGCCCTGGGAAAACATCGACTTGCCCTTTAGCAACAGAAATCGGAGTAAACAACAAGTCCACACTATGCGGTGATTCATCATGTAACCCGAAGACCAGCCTTTCTCAAAGCGGGGACCACAGCCCACTACAAGGACGCTCCCCGGAGCTCAGGAAAGCGTCAGGGCCCTGAGCGTGACCCCGGCTGCTGCTTCAGACTCCGGAGCTGCAGCTCGGGAATCAGATTTAGACCTGCCTCCCCACTGGTTCCTGAGCAGTGAGGACAACGCCAGGCCTCTCCACAGAGCTCCTGCCCGTCCCGGTTCCCATTTTCACCACGACAGGGAGGGGAGGGAAGGGAGGGGGGGTCGACAGCAGACAAACACTCGGTGCCTTAAGCCTTCCAGTTGTTATAGAAGCATCTCTAACTGGGACATGGAGAAGGGGAGCCCTGGGGTCCAGGGCCTGGCTCTGGAGTCCGAGGACATGGGTCTGGGTCAAACTCAGCTAATCGTGGCTGGGTGTCCTCTGTTCCCTCACTCGTGAAACAGGGAGAAATGGTAGTATCAATACCCACGGTCTTATGGGCTTGTTGTGTTAACACATTAAAAATATATACTGCCCCCGAGCAGAAAACTTGGGACAAAAAAAAGTGCCCAATGAATGAAATTAATCACCAGCTATTAGACATTCTGACTTTAAAAGCAACAGTAAACAGTGATCATTTTTTAAGATGCCATGAATAACTTCCCTACTTCCCAAAATTAATCTTCTCTGAAACATACTGCCCCAAATCTCAAAGTCAGAGATATATAATTTTGAATTCCATTTTTTATTGGTAGGCTAGATTTTTAGAACTCTTGCTGAAAACAATGAAAAATGCTGCATGAAGTAATTAAAACAGCATCTTAAAAGCACTGATGAATGACGACGTAATGAAGAACTGCCAGGCCAAATGCCGGGGTAAATCCGGAACCTACAGAGCGAAGGGAAATTCCCAGAAGCCAAACCACTTCTGCCCTGAGGGTACTTGCTCCTTGGGGAACTTGGGCGCAAAAGTCAAGGTCCAATGGACAAATGGATCAATGGAATAGAACTGAGAGGATAGAAACAAACATACACATGTGTAGCCAAGCATCTGGACGAGGCCGCCAAGACAAGTCAACGGGGAAAGAGCGACAAGCATGCTGGTGCGAGTGGATCTCCACAGGCAGAAGAATGAAATGAACCCCCTCACTCCATGTACAATTCACTCCAGCTGGATCAAATCGTCAATGAGAGCTAAAACCACAAAACTCATAGAAGAAAACATAGGCACAAAATGTCATGACCGTGGATCAGACAATGGTTTCTCAGCTAGGACTCCAAAAGTACAAGCAACAAAAGGAAAAAACAGACAAACTTGCTGTGCTTCAGGGAAAACTTTCAAGAAAATGAAAAGGCAATCAACAAAGCGGGAGGAAATATTTATAAATCATATATCGGATAAGAGACTTGTATCCACAATATATGGAGCACTCCTGTAACTCACCAATAAAAAGACAGATATTCAATTTCAAAATGGGCAAAGGATCTGAAACACATTTCTCAAAAAAAAAATATACACGTGTCAGTAAGTACTTGAAAAGATGCTCCACGTCATCGGTCATTAGGGAAACGCAAATCAAAACCACCATGAAATACTTCACCGCTACTCGGATGGCTAGCATCAAAGATGGGCAATGACAAGTGTTGTAGAGGCTGTTGAGACACCCGAACCCTAGTACATTGCTGGTAGAAATGTAAAATGGTACATACAAGTCTCCGGAAAAGAGTTTGACAATTCCTCAGAAAGTTAAACACAGAGTTACCAGTGACCCAGCAAGTCCACTCCTAGGCATATTCCTAAGAGAACTGAAAACATATGTCCACACACAAAACTGTACACAAATATTCACAGCAGAATGATTCATAATAGCCAAAGAGTGGAAACAACCCAAACGTCCAACTGATGAGTGGAGAAAGAAAATGTATATACCCGTAAATGGATTCGGCCGCGAAAGGAATGAAGCAGCGATACATGGTGCAACATAGATGAATCGCGAACACATCATGCTGAGTGAGTGATTTTCAACCGGTGTGCCACGAGAATTTTTAAAACATGCAGTACCTGACTATCTGACCGGGGCACCGGCCTCTTTTCCCTTCCAGTGGTTCTCAACCTTCCTAACGCCGTGACCCTTTCATACAGTTCCTCATGTTGTGGTGACCCCCAATTCCATTGTTACAAATTGATCATAATGAAAGCATAGTGATTAATCACAAAAACAATATGTAATTATATATGTGTTTTCCGATGGTCTTAGGCGGCCCCTGTGAAAGGGTCGTTCGACCCCCAAAGGGGTCGCGACCCACAGGTTGAGAACCGCTGGCCTAGGGAGTGAGAGGACTCCAGGGTCTGATTTCCCAAAGCTGAATCCTGGCTCCTTTGGCTAACAGCTGTGTGACCCAAGTAAGTCACTCAATTTCTCTGTGCTGTGGTTTCCTGTCTGTAAGGTGTTGATGACAGCAAGAGCACCTACCTACCTGGGAAGACTATTGGGAGTGCTAAATGGGGTGACACATAAGGCACCTGGCCCCTAGGGGGCGCTCTTATTCCAAAACGTGGAGCCCTCAGAGCAAGTATGCTCAGCAGGGACCACACCACCCACCAAGTGGGCAAAAACTGGTTGGGGGGATGGGGTGGGGGGGACATCGTACCTACCGCAATGGTTTGGGCCTCCCACAGCTCAATCCTACCCCACAAAATCTGAGTTTTTAGTATTTCATTTCTCTCTCAGAGAGAATTCAAATTGAACTGAACCTTTCTCCTAAGGGACACAATAATTGTAAATTATGGTTGATAAAGACTGTCTTAGAGGGAAAAATAATACATGCAAGTCTTTAAGGTTAAAAGGTTGAGACCCATTAACTGGCCTGGAATTTGTAGAGGAAGCCCTGGGCGGCCCTCGACAAAGGGCCGGAATTTCCTTTTAGCTCCACTTGCAGCCTCCCCCGGACCTTGTCACTGCTCCCCCCACCCCCTCCCGGACGCACCCCCAGGGTGACTGGGGTTCACCCGGGGGGTCGGGCTGACCAACGGTGCGGTCGGACTCTGCATCGCAAAGGGGACATCTCTGACCAAATGAGAGTGACGCTCCCAATTCAGACAAACGCCGAGCCGACGTCCAGCCCTGAGAACGGAGGAAGGGTGTGAGCTCAGGAGGCTGCGCAGGGAAACTCCCACCGTGGCCAGAGCTGCCTTTTCAGACGAGGGTGAAGGGAAGCATGAAAAGGGCAGTGCCGCCTCCTGCACGGAGCTGAAGCCATCTCTGTTCTGAGCGCTATGGCGGGCGATCTAAGAGCAGGGGTGCTGGCCAGGGGACACCCGCCCAGCGTCAGGGGCTCCATCGCTGATTTAGCAGCCGCGGGAGCGAGCGGGTGGCGCCCCTCCCCGGAGGCAGCACTCAGTGTAAAAGGAGCCGGTCATTAACTCCACACCCGAACAGAGAAGCAGGAGATAAACAAAGCCAGGGGGTGGGCAGGAAGCCGCAGAGAACAATCTCCACACGTCCCTGATCAGGTTTCCCAACTCGGCCAGCCATTTCCTCTCCAAAGCGCCTGTCCTTTTTCTAGGAACGTGGTCCAGGAGCCACCGACCATGCAAACGCCACAGCAGCGGAGCCGGGTGCTCTGATCAAAGCAGAGCCGCCCGTCACCCATCTCCTCCGGGGCCGGGTGTGTTTGCCTTCCGGGGACGGAAAGCAAACAGGACCCTTCCAGTTTGCACTGGGAGATGGAAACACCAGGGCAGAGAAAGAAAAGGCTAAGGAATCAAAGATCAAAGCTAAGGAAGCCCTGCGCAGCCCTTGACAAAGGGGTTCCTCAAAGAAGGGGGGTGCAGAGTCCTGCCGTGAGCAAGTGACTGCAGGCGGCACGGATGACAGCAGGCAGCGAGGTCTCTGCTCCATCAGCCGAACACCGTCCTCGGCCACGGGGAATGGCAGCGCCGGGGGGCGCCAGTGAAAGCCATCGAGAGAGCCCCAACTCACAAAGGTATCGCTTTCGGCATCTGTAAGGGTGGTACCGTCCCAAGCATGTGACAGACTGGCCCCAGGCTGCGTGGTTCAGTTGGCTGGGTGTTGTCCTGTGACTGGAAGGTTGCTGGTCCGATTCCCAGTCAGGACACATACATGCCCGGTTGTGGGCTCGATCCGGGGATTGTGCGGGGGGCAACTGATAGATGTTATGCTCTCACATCAATGTTTCTCTCCCTCTCCCTTCCTCTCTCTCTAAAAAAAAAAAAAAAAAAAGAAAGAAAGAAAGAAAGAAAGAAAGAAAGAAAGAAAGAAAAGAAAAAAGAAATCAATAAAATTTTTTTAAATCAATTAAAAAATTTTAATGTGAAAGAATGTAAGATCTCATCAGGTTTAAAAGTCTGTCTTAAATAAGATATTTTCTACTGAATATCTTAGGATACTGTCAAAGTCAAACGATTTTTGAGTAAAGTGCATACACAGTTTCATAAGGGCGCCCAAAAGGCAAAACCCCACCAAGCAATCAACCCGAACAGGCCTGCAGACTTCGTGAGAAGACAGTGAGCTATGACGGCGGCAGCGCCTCATTAGGTTCTGAAGCCCAACCTAAGAAATGGACTTCGGTGTAATAGCCAAGGCGCTCAGAAAACTAGCTCCAGACAAATCCAGCTCCGGCTGCAAGGCCCGCCAAACTCTGATCACAGACTAAATAAGTTAACTGGATCGCACCCTTGGTGGGTAGGCATCTGTCAACAACCCCCCCCCCAAAAAAAATTAAGAATTAAGCACCTCGCCTTAACCGGTTTGGCTCAGTGGATAGAGCATCGGCCTGCGGACTCAAGGGTCCCAGGTTCGATTCTGGTCAAGGGCATGTACCTTGGTTGCGGGCACATCCCCAGTGGGGGGTGTGCAGGAGGCAGCTGATCAATGTTTCTCTCTCATCGATGTTTCTGACTCTCCATCTCTCTCCCTTCCTCTCTGTAAAAAATCAATAAAATATATTTAAAAAATTAAAAAAAGAATTAAGCACCTCAACCGGGAAGGGCTCAGTTGGTTGGAGCATCGTCCTGTACAACAAAAAGGTTGCAGGTTCAATCCCAGGTCAGGGTGCCTATGGGAGGCAACCAATAAATGTTTCTCTCTCACATCGATATCTCTCTTTCTGTCTCTCTTTCTCGCTCTAACTCTCGCTCTCCCCACCCTTTCCTCGCTCTCTAAAAAAATCAATAAACATGTCCTAAGGTGATGATTAAAAAAAAAAAAAATTAAGCAAAACCGCCATTAAGTGAGATCTTGATGAAATCTTCCTTAGGAGGTAAATTAAATGGGGCACCTGTGGCAGAGACGCTGTTATCTCCCAATATCTAGTCTGTCTTTCTCCCTTGTAGTCACACAACTCCGGTTTCCTCTGAACCCACAGCTGTCCAGCTACAGAATGTATTTCTCAGGCTCCCTGCAGCTAAAGTGATGCGAGAAGTGACTTTGGAAACTTCTGGATTCAATGTTAAAGAGGCGCTGGCTGTTGCCCATGTCCCCCATTCTGAGGGCTGGCACTGGATGAGGCTGACTGCTCTGGGAGTGGCAGGGGTGGAAGCAGCCAGAGTGCCCATCAGTAGATGAGTGGATAAAAGAGCTGCGATAGCCCGGCCGGCATGGCTCAGTGGTTGAGCATCGACCTATGAACCAGGTCACAGTTTGATTCCCAGACAGGGCACATGCCGGGGTTGCGGGCTCAATTCCCAGTGTGGGGCGTACAGGAGGCAGCTGAGAGCAATGATTCTCTCTCATCATTGATGTTTCTATCTCTCTCTCTCCCTCTCCCTTCCTCTCTGAAGTCTATATATATATATATATTTAAAAAGAAAAAAGAAAATAGAAAAAATATTTTTTTAAAAAGCTGTGATACATTTACATAATGTATCATAAAAAAGAAGGAAAACTTACTCTTTGCGACAACACGGATAGACCTGGAGGGTATTGTGCTGGGTAAAATAAGCCAGTCAGAGAAAAACAAGTACCATTTGATTTCACTTACATGTGGAGTCTAATGAACAAAATAAACTAACAAACTCACAGATACCGAGAACAGACTGACAGCTGTCGGAGGGGAGGGGAGTGGGGGGCTGGGTGAGAAACAACCACCTCCTGGACACAGACAACAGTGTGGTGCTCACCACAAGGAAAGGGGGTGGGGGAGGTGGAGAGGGCAAAGGGGATGAATGGTGACAGGTGACTTGACTTTGGGTGGTGAACACACAGTACAATATCCATGTGATGTCTTATAGAACTGTACACCTGAAACCTACATAATTTCATTAACCAGTGTCACCCCAATAAATTCAATTAAAAATTTTTTTTAAATCTCTGAATCAACTTCAAGGCAGCTATCAAAAACAAATAAATAAATGCCAGCCGCCAGGCGCCACCACGCCCTGCTCATGCGTGAACTTTCCAGACTCTTGCCCACGACCAACCAGGACTGGGAGATGCCTCTCTGGGAGCTGCTGCTTCCCCCTGCTGCCCCCTCCCCTTATTGGTGGCCAATGTAAACTCTTTCAAAACAACTTACATCTTTTGCCCCAAACCCATGAGATGAAGGAGCCCCGTCAGCTGGAAATCAGCAGACATGTCCGCTTTCTCCCTCCAGCCCGGACGCTGGTGGTTGAGCTTGCACATCCCAGGACCTGGTCCTTCTCTGCCAGCACATGGCTCAATAAGCCCGTTCTGTCAGGACCACTCCCAGCCTCGAAGGTTTGACATAAGGATGGACTAACTGGCCTGGGGACACTGAGCCGTGCTGCCCAATGACATGGTGTGGGCCACAAACGCAGCCACACAGGCAGTTTCACCTGTTCTAGCAGCCACGTTTTAAAAAGTAATAAAAAATAAAACAAAATAAATGTTTTGCACTGGGCGGTTTTGCTCAATGGATAGAGCATGGGTCGGTCTGTGGACTAAAGGGTCCCTGGTTCGAATCCCACAAGGAGCAAGATCAATCCCAGGCCCTGGTCGGAGCCTGTGCGGGAAGCAACCAACTGATGTGTCTCTCTTACATCCACTGTCTCTCCCCCTCCCTCCCACTCTCTCTAAAAATCAGTGGGAAAATATCCTTCAGTGAAGATCAACAAAATAAAAAATTTAAACTGGGGAAAGTAACTTCACTGATACATTTTCATTTAACCCAAAACATCCTGAAAGAAAGGGAGTCACAAAGGCCAGGAAAAAGCTCTCGTAAGACAACGAATTCAGTTTTAATTAAGACACACAGTTTCCTTACAATAAACAAATGAAAAACGCGTTACTCACGGTTTCTGTAGGGGAAGACGGCCTCTGCAGATTCTCCCCCTGCACCCAAACGCTCTCTGTCACAAATGCTATGTGTTCGGCTTCAAGTATGAGAGGAGAAACAAGATAGAGGGCCCACTTGTTCAAGTCATCAATGGACTGGATAGATAGAAAGAAAACACCAAAAAGGGATTTAATGTCACTTCACACCACAACTGCCACTTAACTCAACATCCGGGGCATCTCCCCCTCCCCCCTCGCTAATTCCAGGTGGGATATAAGTAAGGTCATGGGGTGCCCTCCTACAGACCACCTTCACCTGCGCTTCTTGTTGAACTAGGGCTAAACAAACAGCTGCAAACTCCCCTCTAGGACTCAGGACAGCTTTAACATCTCCAGATACTTGTTAGCAACTAATTGATTCTCAATCTGGGCTTACTGCTACTACTCTTTACTGTTTAGAGAAAACGAGGCATGCGGCCCGCCGGCTGCGCGTTCGACATCCTTGGTTTAGAGCAGCGGTCACCAACGGGTGGTCCGTGAGGTCTTAAAGGTTGGCGACCGCTGGTTTAGAGCATGTGGGAGCTCTCCAAATGGCAACGTGGAGGGACGTGTGCTTGTTGTTGTTGTTAATCCTCACCTGAGGATATTTTTTCGGTGATTTTTAGAGTGGAAGAGAGGGAAAGACAGAGAAACATCCATGTGAGAGAGGCACATCGATTGGTTGCCTTCTGCACGCACCCTGACCAGGGTCTGGGCCGGGAAGGAGCCTGCAAAGGAGGTGCATGCCTTTGACTGGATTCGAACCTGGGACCCGTTGGTCCACAGGCCGACGCTCTATCCACTGAGCCAAACCAGCTAGGGCTTGGAGGGACTTTTAAAGATGAGGTTCAGAGCCTGGCCAGTGTTGCTCTGTGGATGAGCACTGACCCATGAACTAGTACAGGGGTGGGCAAACTTTTTGACTCGAGGGCCACAATGGGTTCTTAAACTGGACCGGAGGGCCGGAACAAAAGCATGGATGGAGTGTTTGTGTGAACTAATATGAATTCAAAGTAAACATCATTACATAAAAGGGTACGGTCTTTTTTTTTTTTTAGTTTTATTCATTTCAAACGGGCCGGATGCAGCCCGCGGGCCGTAGTTTGCCCACGGCTGAACTAGTAGGTCATGGTTCAATTCCCGGTGAGGGCACATGCCTGAGTTGCGGCTCGATCGCCAGTGGAGGGCGTGCAGAAGGCAGCTGATCGATGGTTCTCTCTCATCATTGATGTTTCTACCTCTCTCTCCCTCTCCCTTCCTCTCTCTGAAATCAATAAAAACATATTTTTTAAAAATGAGGCTCAGAAGTGCATCCCATTAGACAGAAGCACGTTACTAACAGAAGCCTAGCCCAGAGGACTGTTCTTGCATTTCCATCAGCCATTACAGCTTTAAGAACATATCTAAAGAAGAAGAAGAAAAATAAAAGCACGTGCAATTAAAAAAAAGAAAAGCTAGAAAGATGAACTGTGATTTAAACTCTGAGGGCACAGAGCAGCACAGCGCAGGCCGGGCCCATCTGGTCCGGCGGGTGAGACAGTGCTATCTGACTGAAGGTCTGGGGCAAAGGTAACTATGCTAAGAACTGGGGGCACAGAATCCCTTGAAAGCCCAAGGCAGGTTTGGCTGGAGCAGTGGGCAAGGGCTGAAAAGCTTTAGTTGTAGTCACTGAAGTTAGCAGAAGACCAATCAAGTCATGGAGGTGTTCAAAAGTAGAACTGTCCTCCTGGCCGGGTGGCTCAGTTGGTTGGAGCGACGTCCCGAACACCAAAGGCTGCAGGTTCCATTCTGGGTCAGGGCTCCTACTAAGTTGCAGGTTCGACACCTAGTCAGTGTCAGAGGCCACTGATCTGTTTCTCTCCTCCCCCCGCCTCTCTAAAGTCAATAAACATATCCTCGAGTGAGGATAAAACAAAACAAAAAAGAGAGTAAAACTGTTTCTCAAGAAAATTAAAGACATTTACCTCTGAATATTTTTGAATATTCGAAATTTCCACTCTAAATTTTAAAGGTTATTTTTTAAAGTAAATGATCCAGTGTGCAAGCCAGTACAATAGAAAAGTCCATCTCTCCATTTTCCCCCTCTTGGACTTGTTTCTCAATCAGGGTTCCTTGAGAGAATTAAGCCGTCAGGCGTCCACCATATGGAGTGAATGAATGTAACTCCTTTGCAACTAGGTCAGCGGATCTCAACCTGTGGGTCGCGACCCCTTTGGCGGTCGAACGACCCTTTCACAGGGGTCGCCTAAGACCATCCTGCATATCAGATATTTACATTACAATTCATAACAGTAGCAACATGACAGTTATGAAGTAGCAACGAAAATAATTTTATGGTTGGGTCACAACATGAGGAACTGTATTTAAAGGGCCAGAAGGTTGAGAACCACTGCAGTAGACTAACAAGGAAGGGCATTTTTGATTTGCTAGCAGAACAGTACAATCCTATACTTACGCATAACCCCAACAAAATATTCAAGACCTGAGATAAGATTTTAATTCCCATTCGGGTGTTATGGTTTTACACACATAGAAAATCTCATTTTTATGCTAAAAATGAGCCAACTTTCCAGAAGGAAAGGGCAAGAAGCCAATGAAAAGCAAAACACTTTGAAACATTCATGAAAACAGTATCAGTGACATCAACGGAAATTTTCGCTGAACCGCACTGTGAACCAAGTCCATTTCCAAGAGCTGAACGGGAAGAACTACTGTCCCTTTCACGGAAAGCAGAGCTTTTGCTGAGATTAAGCCACAGCGCGGCTGAACGTGTAGCCACCGGGCTAAGAATTGGGCCAAAAAGACAAAGACTGTGCAAACCGAAATAAGACAGGTGAAAGGCGACCGGTGGGGCGCCCGGCTGGTAAATGACACCCTGACAGGAGAGGAGGGCGGGCAGTTTTTGTCACCTCGGAGATATCTGACAGAGAGCTGAGAATTTGCTGTCTTTCTCCGAATTCATTCACCCAGACGGCAGCCCGCAGTGGAGGGGAGGACGCCAGGAGCCTGAGTGGGCAGCGCTCTCGGGCTCAGTGCCAGTGGCCATCGCGATCGCACAGGTACACGCCTATTTGGAAGCCAAGGGCCCGGCGTCCGTGCACTCGCCCCGCGCGCCTGAGTTTTCGGATCTCTGGTCCCCTTAAAGCCGGCTCCGTGGGCATCGCGGGCAGGGGGCCCGGCCGGGCGCTTCCGAGACGCCGGGTGCAGAGGGGTCCTCCCAGGCCCCCACAGCACGGGACCGGCCGGGTGGAGGGGAGGCGGTAGGAGGGGCCCAGGCAGGCGCTTCCGGATTGCCCCGCCCCCTACCACTGTGCCCCGCCCCCTCCGCTGGTACCCTGCCCTTCCCGCCACCGGAGCTGCCCCGCCCCAGGCCCCGCCCACCGCTGGTGACCCCCCGCCCCGGCCCCGCCCCTCCGCTGGTCACCCGCCCCGCCCGCCCCCCGGCCCCGCCCACCGCTGGTGACCCGCCCCGCATGCCCCGCCCTCAGGCCCGCCCCCCTCGGGCCCCGCCCCGCATGCCTCGCCCCGCCGCGGCCCGCCCACCTGGCTCTCGCCGACGCAGAAGACGCGGCCGCCGCGGCTCAGGCACACGCTGGCTTCCGGGGGCCGCGCGGCCGCCACGCAGAAGGTGAAGGAGCAGCGCGAGGCGCGCAGCCGCTGCACCGTGATGCGCACGAGCGCGGCCGGCCGGCGCCCCCAGCGCGCCCACAGGTACAAGTAGCACAGCGTGATGAGCATGGCCGGCCGGCCGCGGAGGGGCGCGGGCCCGGGACGCTCGAACTCGCCGGCCCGCCCCGACGCGCCCCTCCGCCTGTCCCAGTCGCCGGCCCTCCCGCCCTCCCGACGGCCGGAAGAGGCGGAGCCGCGGGGACGCTGGTAGGCTGGGGGCGTGCTGGAGAGAGAAGGGTGCGGGCTGGGGAGATGGGCAGGTACGTGGTGATGGAGGGAAAGCGGGGAGGGGAGGGGGGTGATGAGTAAGTTGAGCACCAGCGGGTAGGCCCCGGGCTCCTGGCCTGCGTCTGCCCGGGTCCGGCCTCCCTAGAGGGGGTGGGAGGCTGACGGAGGACAGGGCTGTGCATGTGTATGGCATTAACAGCTCCATACGGAGTCACAGCGTGCTGACAGCCTCCACCCCGCCCAGCTGGGAAAGTAAGGTGAGGCCTTCTTGCTCAAAGGATTTTAGCATAACTTAAGCAAATTCATGCAATGCAATAATACTTTTCCTCTGGACCCTAGTATACAGTAAGGGCGGGAAACAAGTTAAAGACAGATCGGGAGTAAAAAGGCTGCTGGTGTTCTTTGACGTGAGCACTTTGTGAGCATCCTAAAGCCAGTTCTGGGAAACATCAGTAATGACTCACTGTTCTTGTCCCCTACGTCTGAGGGCCTAAGAGAAGCATAGTTATTCCTGACGGGAATGAGATGTCTCCGTGGAGGCTCGCTTTTCTCCAAGGCAGCGTGTACGGGAGTGTTGCGGACAGGACACAACCCCCCTCACTCACGGGGACACCAGAGGTGGAGCAACTCAACCGCAAGTGAACAGCAGCGGCCTCAGCCACGCGGAGGCACATCTCCCTGCGTTGCTTCCCGTTCTCGCCTTGGCTATGAGTGGGTGGCAACACACAGTAAAAGCCAGCCAGTGTGCCACTCCCAAGTCTTCCTTCACCCGAGGACAGATTTTCCAAGTACCCTGACCCTTTACGCATCTGCTTTAGAATAGCGGTATAGAATACCCACTTTCAGAACCTCGCACCTCGGGTCAGATGACACAGGAAATTCTCCCATTCCACATAGCAAGAATAGTTTTAAAAAGAGAAAGACTCCAAGGAGAAATAACTGGGCTCAAAAACAAGGTAAGCGTCACAGTGGGCCAGACATAGAAGACAGCGGTACGCAGGGCTGAAGCCAGATCCTACGTGACAGGTGGGAAGTGGGTCCCTGCACAGTAACAAGACCTGAACCTGTGTCCCTGGAGAAAGAAGTGAGTGAGCCCCTATGAGGAGGGACTCCGCCCCTCCATGATGACAAAGGGCTACCAGTCAGAAATTAGAACATGAAAAGGTTTATTAAAGTGCTAAGCCCTAATGTTTTCCTAGACAAACACTTCAGATAGCCTT